TATATATATATATATAGTATAATAGTATATATATAGTATATATATATATATATATATAGTGAGGGGTATAGGTATATGAGAGAGGGTATAGTATATATATATATATATATATATATATATAGTATATATATATATATATATATAAATATATATATATATATATATATATAACCAAAAGTTAAAAATGAAATGATTATTTGATAGTCTTGAGTTTAGTGATTACCAAAAGTGTTTATGTCATACTGCTATATAATATATATATATATATGAGCAAATATGGAGAACTTTGGTACTAAGTTGTGTAAAGCAACTTGGTAGTTATGTGGCCTAATCTTGCCCCTACATCACACCTCGAAGATAGAGCCTTAACCAACTCTTCACCAACTCAATGTAGATGTAGGACAAGATTGGTACAAGTTTTTTATTTTTTCATATATATATATATATATATATATATATATATATTATATATATATGATATATATATATACATATATATAATATATATATATATATATATATATATTGCTTTAGCGCTCTGACTCTCTTGTTGTTGTTTTTTTCTTTTCAATTACTTTTAGGTAGTTCAGAGTTTCGTAGAGCCGTAGGGTGATGAAGTTTTAGCATAGTCGTCGATACGTATTTTTACTTATAGAGACTCCACTGTAGTTTGAGTTTTTGAGTTTTATCCAAACATTAGAGTTTTATTTTCATATTGTAAAGGCATTGTGCCTAGTATGATTTTTTTAGTTGATTCATGTTGAGACATTTTTATTATTCAGATATCAGATGTATTATAGTTAAGACATGATTCCTTTTATTTATGAGATATCTCTTCTATATCATGTCTATTATATTTATTCTCTTTATTTTACCTGTTTTGTACCTGTACTTCTATTTGGTTCCACTAGAGGATATTGTTATGATTGATGAAACGTGTTTATGCACAGTGTGGGTGCATGGCAGGTTTGACATCTTAGTTTCACCTTGGACTGCAACCTTATGTGAACCCAGGGGCATCACAGTTGGTATCAGAGTTTTAGTTCCAACATTCTACGATTATTCCTGTGTTGAGTCATGCAGCTAGGATAGAGTTTCCTAGGAATCATGTATAAAGTCCGCTAGAAATTCCTAGAATGAGTGAGGACGTTATATACATATATTCAAAAATTTACAATTTTTTTTACAATTTTTTTTGTGACAACTACCTTACTTTGATTGAAAAGTAATTGCATGAATGATAAGTGATACGATTTTTTTCTTTCCTATTGGTATATGTTATGTTATTTATGATTGTGATCTTACTTAATGTGTAAAATAAGTTCTCCTCTTGGTATTATAAACATTGGATCGAGGACATGGTCGAGATAAAGCTTGTACCATGAGAGCTGGGTAAGTAAATTCCGAGCCGCAACAGGCTCCACAATATTTGATCAACTTCATGACGGACTTCAGAGCATAACTTGGGTTTGAGAGATATCTGCGTTTTGATTTGAAGAGACCGTTAATTTGTAGTCTCTTTTGCTAAAGTGTTGCAAAGTCTGTCATCTTGTAATCTCCATCTTGACTCATTAAAAATATAAGAGTCGTCAGATTGTAACTCCCGATGTTGATTATGAAGGCTATTGAACTATAGCTTTTATCGGTTGTTGTGAAGGTCGTTAGATTGTCACCTTTATCGATCTACGTAAAAATATTTAAATTATAGCATTCTAGAAGTCGTCAAATGATAACTTGCATCATCGGTGTTTGATGGGGATCAGCTATCTGTAGTAATTTTTAGACAGCCTACAACAATCTGATGCTAACAATCAAATAGAACCCGCTAAATAGTCTAAAAGTAAAGACAACTCGAAGTCATCCTCTAACAAAAACCTAGAAAATTGAATCATGATGATGAATTGATATGTGCCTTTGTTGAGTCAATGTCTCAGTCAATTAGAAATCAACACATTGTTCATTGGACTGAGCAGTTGGCTGCAGCTTTGAAAGAACATAATAATAATTATTCTGATGAATTTCTCGATAGTGTTTTAGATCATTTATATGACAATGAACATGAGGGTAGAAGTTTTGTTTATAAAAACAAAGAAAGCTCAGAAGTGGTACATCACCAACTTGATTAAGGATCAAGGTTGGTTTGTTAGCTAATTTGTTGGGCTTTGATCACATTTTGGTAGAGCATTTTGTTTGTGCACAAGTATATGTTATTGTGTACATATTATTTTGTTATTTACAAACTATAAATGTTGCAATACTTATTGTTATGTAAACTTATGATGGCATGTAATTGATAAATTGATACTTTTTAATTTTGATGCAGGTAAATATTGATGGGAAAGAACAATGAGTTCATAATTTGAACTTTATAAATTCTTCCGGTATACATTTCTTAGTTTCTTTTTATATGCTTGGGTGAATGGAGGGTTTTATGCTCCTTCCAAGGCTTTGTTGCTTTCAATTGATCTGCGGTTCGTGGAGCTTGTGATGCTCTTTTCTTGGTTTTATTGGTTTCAATTGGTTTGGTGGATGGAGCTTGTGATGTTGCTTTCTTGTTTGGTTTTGTTAGTTTGGTGAATGGTGCTTGTGATGTTTAAATTGTTGTTGGTTTCGGTTGATGGACTTGTAATACTCATGGATTGATTTTGTTGATTTTGATTGGTTTGGTGGATGGAGCTTCATAAGATCCTTGTTTGTTTTTGTTGGTTTCAGTTGGTTTGATGGATGGAGCTTGTGATGCTCCTTGTTTGTTTTTGTTGGTTTTGGTTCATGGAGCTTGTGATGCTCATTCTTTGTTTTACTGGTTTCGGTTGATAAATTGCTAGAGCTTGGGTTGCTTGCATTTGGTTTTATTGGTTTCAATTGATTACATGCTGGAGCTTGTGATGCTTCATAGTTGATATTTGACAATGATGATTATCTTTTAGTGAAAATGTAATCTAACTTATAGCATTTATTATGTTCAGATGAGGCAATCGGTGATGATCGGAATGCAACCTACATTGAATTGATAATGTCTAGGTGAGGCAATCCATCATTAGAATACAATCTACAATAAACCTGTAGGTTATAGGTAGGGTATTTAATTTCAACAAAATGACTTATTCCTGAGCCGTACAATATCAACTAGATTTGTAATGATAGTTTACTAAATTCTAATAATTTTTTTTCATTACAATATCAATAGTTTTTGTAGGTACAAGTACATGACATGCAGTTACAATAATTAAAATAATACAAAATATCACTACTAAAATTGCAAAAAATTTCCAAGCTAGTTCCTGTTTTTCGACATGTTTCAATTCTTTCTTCAGCCTCTTTGATTTTAAAAAATACTTATCTCCGAACCTATTTTCTTTGACAAATTAATTTTCTTGGTTACTTATTTCTCCTCCTTCATAAGCTCATTCAAAAAAATTACATTTTTTATTTGGGTATTTTGCTCACCCCAATAATACATTCTTTTATTTTTACCATTCTTGCACACTTTCATGGGTGTTTGGAGATTGTAATCGCACCAAGCTACAAAATTTTTATGGCATTCTTTTGGTATCATATTGATGGAGGAGATGAAACATGCAAACTATGAGAATTTTAAAAATGGTAAGAATGTTTTTTTGGTTTTGAATTTTGGTAAACGGGTAAGATTATCCCAACTTCTTACTTAAGAATATTTTGTCCACTAGTGAGTGGTAAGATTACCTATAGTGTTGTCATCCATTTATCCCAAAAATTTCTCATTTCAAACCAAACAAAAGAATAGGAATTGGAGGGTTTCTATGAAGCTGGATTCTATATTTTCATGTTATGAAACAAACATAGAAATGTAAAAAGTAGGATTCCACAACATTCTATGACAACAAAAAGTTATCCTTAAATTATTTATAGATTAGGAAGGAATCTATAAAAAAACATCCTTTTCCTAATCCTATATATTCTTACTCACTATTGAACCAAACACCCCTTAGCATACCCCACATATATAAAAGGTGAACGTTCACAACTGTTCTTAGCAGATTAGAAGTTAGTTTACTGTCCAAAAATGGTTGAGAAAGTACCAATTGCAAGCGGAAAATTCTGAGACAATCTGTATTCCTTTCTTATAGATATATTCGTCCTATATCGAGAGAAAGGGGGAGAAGGTGATTGGGGTCGTGAGGAAAATCTGATTGATGATGCTTTAAAGAATACGGATTAAGAACGAATCAACAACAATAAATACAGAGGAACCTCGTGGCCAACTTACCCACAGTATGAAAGAGAATAAATTAAAAGGCATGGCAAGTTTGCTGATCCACCATATAAATTCTAATTAATTCCTAACGTTTGAGCAAAGAGCCCAAACTAATATTTTCGCTTTTTTGGGGGAAAAATATATGATATGCACATATATTTGTAGGAACTATATACACATATGCAAACACATTTTTCGCATTTTCCATAGAAATATATTCATATGGAAATGGGAGGCGTTACAGTCACACCTCCAACCACACCCCTAACCACACTCCTCTCTCGCTATAGTGCGCTGGGGGCCACATGAGAATTTTAAAAAAATTCTCATATGAGCCTCAGTGTACTGTAGCGAGAGAGAAGTGTAGTTGGAAGTGTGGTTAGAGAGTGTGTCTCTAGCATTTTCCTATGGAAATTCGTATGCTAGCTCACGTTTATGACCTAATTAGTTGGGTCTAGTCTACATTTGATAGGGTATTAAATGCAAAATCATTACATGTAGATTATTAGCCCGGAAATTTAACAGCGGTGAGAGAAAGCTCAACACCGTTCGCGAGC